AAGAGAGAGCATAGCAGATCAACATTGCGACGCAGACAAGAATATCGAGCGGTGGGCGGAGCGTGTCGCAACAGGTGGAGCGTGTCAAAGTTCCTTGGCCCCTAGCGCCTTAGTGACGCATTTCGATGCGGGAACTTGGCGAGTCGCCTGCAGTTGCGTCCCATGCACTTCTAGCCACTTTAAGGGCTTATTAGGTGGGTCTGAGCCCGAACTTTGCCTTTAAAGGGATTGCTAAGACCCTTCCTATTCCCCCAACATACATGCCTAAAATTGGACCTCATAGTACTCTTATTTGAGCACAATCGCCAAGTTTTCCATGTAGGCAGGTGACGAAAGGTTGCGAGAAGAGAGGAGTTGGAGAATTCCTATTCACAGTGTCGTCTGGAAAGTTAACTTTGGTTATAAGTTAACCTATGTATGGTCAGTTTAGGGTTATTCACCCGGTTCATTTCTGGGTTCTTGACGTGGATCCAGAATGCCTCAAGAGTTTTGTGAGCAGATGTTTGAAATTCATGCCCCACAATCTCCACCGTAACCCTGGAATCGCCCCTGTTACGACTTTAGACCCTATGGCAAACTGGTGCAGTACTGAACCAGCGGTGTGTAGTCTTGGAGTGAATATTCATTGTTCTCCTACAAGGACACGTCGTAGGAAAGAATTTCTGAAGATGGAAGCGGTTCAAAGGTTCGGTGGCCTGTTCTGCCCCCTTGCACTCCCCTGTTGGCTCAATCCTACGTCATTCTCTTCCATTCCATAGCTCTGCAATACATTAGGTGGGAGTTTGTGGAAACAGCCGAAAATAACTTCAATCAACTTCATCATCATCGCTACCGTGCTAGTGCGAAGCGATTGCTGGCCACCTGCTACCCCCGTTCGTCTGCTGGCCGAGCTCAATTCGTCGAGTCGGCGGGGCGGAGTCCTCTATATAAAGGGACGATCAGGCGGTTTCCAGCACGTCATGATTCACTGTCTGCTCGTCTTGGCGCTGGCCTGCTCGGTCCTAGCCACAGCAGATGCTCAATCACCTACGTTCGACCGACAGGACCGGGACTATCGTCCGTTGCAGGTAGATTTTTTTTCGATTACTCTTCACGGCAGGCTTTACATGGGCTTCAAAATGTCTGGCAGTAAGTTATGTTGGGATTCCTTTTGAGCTGGAGCAACTCCTGTGATAGAAAAGATCTCTTTCAGTACCTGCGTACCGCTAATTTTGCATGGGAATTTTTAGTTTTGCTGTAACTAACCTCTCCCCGTCTTACTCCAGCCCAAAATCTCGGCCCAGATCACCTCTCTAAGCCCGTGTACTCAAGAAAAAGTCATGAATAAATCCTATAACTCCTGCGAAAATGAAGAAAGGAATAACCAGCGAAGCAATCATTAGAGACTCTATCAAGAGACGCTGCACTTGAGAACTAAAAGGATTTTCTGAGACTCTATGAAATAGATTTGCCGTCAGACTTGCTAGATGTGTGAAGCTGAGAGGGACAGCATTAATTCGATTCCTAAATCGACTTTGAAGTCCTCCTTCAGTTCGCTTCACCCATTTTTATCTCCTGAACGAACAAAAGCATTCTTTCACCCAACGAAACGCACCACTTTTTGCTCCCATTTGTTATTTCAAAATCTAGACGCGTTATCCCAAAATACGGGTTCATCTTTCCAAGATTAGGCCAGCGACGGGCAGGAAAATCGCGGGAATTAAAAGAACTCCGTCTGCCATTCCGGAGCTCTTTTCTGCCACCTTAAGGCTTAATCCCTCTTTTGACAGAAGTAGAGTCTCACGCAGGTTTGAAATGCATTGCCACCACAATGCCCCCGTGTCTTGCGATAGCTCCTCAAGGTCATATTTGTTCTCTTTCGTTCTTCTGAAAGGCTTAACCTTGCGCTCTTCTCTCTGAACTGCATGCCACATTTAAACATGTATGCATTAAGACAACATTAGTTGGCAAAGTGGGACAGGCGTTTAGGCAAATGCCCCTGATACTGCAGATAGTATACCGAATTAGGAAAAGCTCCTTCCGATACTATTATGTTTTCTGTCGCCTTATAGCAGGCATCGGAATTGTTTCGGCGAATGTTGTGAGCATGAGCCTTTTCTTGATGGACATGTAAGTTGCCTGCACTGTAATGGGACGGGGTGTCCGAGTTCAACATGTCAAGGACGTATTAGGTCATCCCCCCCCCACCCCAATCGTCAAGTACCTGCCCTTGCGCGAACGCCTTGAAATGTAGATTGTTCAAATATATAAAGTGACCTGAAGGTGTTATGCAAGATGTGGGGGTACTATGGTGACTACGCATCTCAAACAGCGTCAAAATCTCCTTTCTGTTGAAAAACGGAACCAAGCCTCAGGCGAGGGGAGGAGGGACTCCAAGTTTCCAAGAAGTTTTCATTTTACCCGAAGTTTCTGTCCTTCCCTGAGCTTAGTCTCGGAGGATGCCCCCGTATCCTGCGATAGCGCCGAGGACTGAACTGGCGCGCTGGTGCGACTTGAACATAGTTGACATCTCGATCCCGATCAAGCGTTCAATTGGGAAAGTGGTATCAAAATTTCAGAAAAGTGACTCTGCAAGCCCTGAGGTATGCAAGAACGTTCACTGAGAGAGTTGTGGTGGGGAGATTATCTGAAAAAGAAAAAAGACTACGGTGGACGGGGAGTTACATGGGAAGTCGATGGTGGCAAATCCGTAGCTCCCTAAGGCTTGTACCAGACTGCGAACTCGTGGACGTTACCGCCTAGCGAATCCCAATGGATTCGCCTAGAAACTTTGAGTGGTATTACCATTGTCAGCAGTTTGAGCGATGCACCAGCGACTTTTGCGCCGTTTCGCTGGTGAAACGCTCATACCCCTCGAATTGCTAGCGGAACGCTCAGTCGCCAGCGAACCACGGATTCGCTAGCAAATTCGCAAAGTCTGACACTGGTCTAGCCGCGCATTTTGTGCGAGGAATTGTGCACGACCACTGTAGGAACGGACCTAGCAGTTACCTCGTGGCGTGGTTAGTACTGAGTGGGGAGACCGGTCAAGAGTCCCCCGCGACCGCCGCGCCAAAACTAGGGTCACCGCGCGCGACGTCGCCGGTGTTTCTGCAATTTGCCGAGTTCAGGGCCCTCTCCAGACGATCGATACAACGCTTTCCTGTTCCCTCTGTGTAGGCCCCATTCCTGCATTTGTTTCAGCTTAGTCCTAGCAACTTGATGCGTTTCAAGCTGGATATCTTAGATAGCCGCCGCGTGCGGTGACCTACTTTCGCTTGCGCGGCGACCTCAGGGGGACTCTTGTCTCGCATCCCTATAAGTGAGTCTGATCCTAGAGCTGTCCTCTAAATGATCCTTTTGCTAAGGCCAGCTAGTTTTAGCACCAGCTGAGAATTCTAGGTGACGTTGTTGTTGACTGGGTGCTGATCGTCGACGACAAGAATACCAAATGCTGTCCATCATTTGATGACGTTTTATGTCTCTCCTGAAGATTTGTCGCCCTCCCACGGGCATCTGTTTTGTTTACAATATCATTCGGGAATTCTCAAATATTGTTTCGTAGTTTTTCCATGTGACTTTTCTGAGGGTCCTCGTCTTAATTGGCTTGTGCCTTGTGAGCGCTGGACTGCTCTTGCTCATCCTCTTAGCATCGTCGAAGAGGAAATGAGATATCGCGTAGCACTCGGCAATGTGTCCCGAGTAAATCAAAAGCGATCGCTTTTGATGGAGAATGTCCTCAATGCCCTTCCTCATGGCTACGTAACCAGGTCTCAGAGAGTTCACGTCATCCGTTCTTCGTCCACAATTCGTGCTACGGAAAATCTCATTGTCATACAGGAATGTAATGACCCAGGCAATTATGCCCACTGGAAAATCAATAGAGGACCACTGGTTTGGGTAGGATACAGGGTTATCCTCTTATAAAGGTGTAAGAGGACACATATGTGGATTAAAGGCATGCCCCAGGATCAAATTGGTGTGGCTCTTGCACACGAATGCGAATGTATTGGTGCGAAATGGGCCGGCAGTAAGAAAAAAGGAAAAGAATCCGTCGAAAACGCTTAGGTTAAGGGCTCACTCACCTTCCTAATCGGCTGTGCTAAGGGAATGAGAGACTAAGCGCGGAGAGGAGAGTATGAGGCGAGAGAGCGCAGCAGATGAGAGGGCGCCAGACAACAGCCTGATAAAAGGAAAAATTGCAGCTGT